CTCTGTATTTCCCCGCACTGTTGTCGTACGTCCAATCCTTCCGAGACCAGTTTTACCATTACTTCCAGTTCTAGTGACATGCATTTTCAATGCATACTCCATCTTCCATAAATTCGTTTGTGACCATGTCCGGTTTGTGTTCCTTTCACACTGTGTTTTCGTTCTGATCCCCACCATTTTTTTATTATTGTCTACCTATTTACTTACACTGCTATTGCACGCACACTCGCTCTGATCATTTGATCATGCCTTGTGCATGTCTCACAGGATTCGTAAAATATACACCTATTATTATTATTATTACAATGACTTCGTTCCAATCTAAGTTGATGCCCCCTGGTGCCCCTGGCAGGAGTAAACGAGAATACGTTTTGGAACTTTAGACCCGAAAGCCCCTTGACAATCTTAAATGTTGACAAAGTATTGAAAATTGGTACTCGTATCTCGGGTGAACTGAATTCTATTTCTTCTGTTCGCCGAGCTTGGCAATTTGCTTGCAAACGTTCCATCACCAGCCGAAGTGACACCACTTCACAAGCACCGATGATGTCACCTCGACTGGTGATGAAACGTTTTCAAACAAATTGCCAAGCTCGGCAAACAGGCGAAATAGAATCTTAAATGTATCTGTAAGGTTGCCTCGTATGCGTCCGCGGGCCAGGGAGAACAGGTCCAGGTCTCTTGGTAGTTGGAGTTATCCCTTATCTTTCTGGCCTGCTACCATTCTAGTTGTTAAGCGATGTACTTTCTCAAGATACCGTTCGTCCTGTTTAAAGTAAGGCGCAATAGTTTTAAACAAAAACCAGGGGTCTTCTGCAACTTACGACAGCGCACAACCTGAAAAGTTCTTGTCGAGCTTTATTATCCGCACGCTTGCACTGCACGGATGACCTGAAATCGTTCGTGATCATTACCCCTAGATCCTTTGCCTTAGAGACATGCTGCAGATGCATCACACCTCTCGTGTCATCATTGGCTCTTGTGGCCAAGAGCTGACACCTAGATTCATTGGCAGATTCTACTTATCCGACCACCTTCGAACTGCATCTAGATCCTGTTCCAGTCCTTCCCCAGTTAACTTCACATCATCGGCGAACATGGAGCATGGATTTCGGAGATCCTTCGCAAGGTCATAATTGAAGATGAAAAATAATAACGGACCCAACACCGATCCCTGTGGGACATCACTCGATATTCCCTCAGGTTTGGTTGCATAATTTCCAACCCTTACACTGAATGTGCGACAGTTGAGAAATTGTCCAATCCATTCTCATGTCTTATTAGAATCCCTACTGTCTACATTTTTAGATCCAGAGGCTGATGACTGACGAAGTCGAAAGCTTTGCTGAAATACAGGTAGCAAACCTCTACTTGGTGATCAGCGTCTATTATTTTTGTAACTTCGTCTAGAAATGCCAGCAGGTTGGTTAAGCACGATCTTTTCTCGACAAATCCATGCTGGACGTGAATCAGAAGCCCATGAGCCATCAGATAAGAACATATCTGTTTCTTAACTATCCGCTCAAGACACTTGCAGAAGACCGAGGTCAAACTCACCGGCCTATAGTTGCAAACATGATGTCTAGGGCCTAACCTGTGGATGGCCACTACGATTGCAGTTTTCCAGTCCTCTGGAAGCCGGCAAGTACCGAAGGACTCTTTTAACTTAGTGACCGGTCCCGCTAATGCATTTAGCAGAGGCTGAATCACGGCGGGATGCAATCCCTCCGGTCCTGCTGCTTTATGTCTATTTAAGGCGTTGAGTTCTCGGATCACGTCGATTTCACAGAGGTTGAATTCCGTGAAATGCTCCCTTGTTCTAACCAGGGTGCAGTCTACAGTCTGTCCTGATGTAGGTGACAGATAAATTCCCTTGAAAAACGTAAGGAGTGCACTTGCCTTTTCCTGGTCGGTGGTGGCCTTTACGCCTTCCGTTACCTTCAGTGTACTTACTCTCTCCTTAGTGTTTTTGTTCGCTTGCACGTATGCATAAAACCTTTTCGGGTTATGTCTTACGTTTTGCGCTAGCTTTTTATCATGTTCATACTTCGCCTCCCTTTGAAGGGATTGTGCTCTGTTGCGTGCCCTCTTGTAGATCGACCACGCATCGGTA